CTGGAGTCACATGTAGGCCAGACCAGGTAAGGATGACAGTTTCCTTCCCTAAAAGACATTAATGAACCAGATGGGTTTTTCCAACAACTGGCAATGGATTCATGGTCATCATTCGACTCTGCTGTGGCAGGATTCAAACCCAGGTCCCCAGAACTTTCCCTGGGTCTCTGGATTAACAGTCCAGCGATAATACCACTAGGCCATTGCTTCCCCATCTGCAAACTTGCTAACCATATCTGGATGTTTACATCAAAATCATTTATATAAATGAGGTAAAGCAGTGGACCCAGCACCAATCCTTGTGGCACACCGCTGGTGACAGGCCTCCAGTCTGAAAAACAATCCTATATCACCGTCCTTTGTCTTCTTCCTTCGAGACAGTTCTGTATCCAAATAGCTAGTTCTCCCTGCATTCCATGTGAACTAACCTTGCTGACCAGTCTCCCATGAGGAAGCTTTTTGAATGCCTTACTAAAGTCCATATAGATCACGTCCACTGCTCTGCCCTCATCAATCCTCTTCGTCACTTCTTCAAAAAACTTAATCAAGTTAGTGAGACACAATTTCCATTCACAAAGCCATGTTGACTATCCCTAATCAGTCCTTGTCTTTCCAAATATATGTAAATTCTGGCCCTCAGGATTCTCTCCAACAACTTGCCCACCACTGATGTCAAGCTCACTGGTCTATAGTTCCCTGGCTTTTCCTTACCACCTTTCTTAAATAGTGGCACCATGTTTGCCAACCTCCAGTCTTCCAGCCACTCACCAATGACTATCAGTGATACAAACATCTGAGCAAGGGTTGCAGCAATCACTTTCCCAGCTTCTGACAGAGTTCTAGGATACACCTGATCAGGTCCCAGGGATTTATCCACCTTTATGTGTTTCAAAGTATCCAGGATCTCCTCCTCTGTAATATGGACTTTTTTCAAGATGTCGTTATTTATTTCCCCACATTCTCTACCCTCCATATTCTTCTCCACAGTAAACATTGATGCAAAATACTTGTTTAGTATCTCCCCATCTTCTGCCGTTCCACAATTAGACAGCCTTGCTCATCTTTAAGGGGCCCTATTCTCTCCTCAGTTACCCTTTTGCTGCTAATGTATTTGTAGAATCCCTTTGGATTCTCCTTAACCCCATTTGCCAAAAATCCCATGTCCCTTTTTGCCCTCCTGAATTCCCTCTCAAGTATACGCCTACTGCCTTTATGTTCTGCTAGGGATTCACTTAATTTCTGCTGTCTATCTCACATATGCTTCCTTTTTATTCTTGACCAAAACCTCAATTTCTCTAGTCATCCAACATTCCCTACACCTACCAGCCTTGCCCTTCATCCTAACTGGAACATACTGTCTCTGGACTCTCGTTATCTCATTCTTGAAGGCTTCCCATTTTCCAGCTGTCCCTTTACCTGCAAACATCTGCCTCCAGCCAACTTTTGAAATTTCTTGCCTAATACCATCAAAATTGATCTTCCTGCAATTTAGAACTTTAACTTTTAGATCCGGTCCATCCTTTTCCATCACTATTTTAAAAATGGTAGAATTATGCTCATTGGCCCCAAAGTGCACCCCCACTGACATCTCAGTCACCTGCATTGCCTTATTTCCCAAGAGTAGGTCAAATTTTGCACCTTCTCTAGTATGTACATCCACATTTAACAAATCCCTCTCCATCCAAGCCCTTAACACTATCACAGTCCCAGTCTATGCTTGAAAAGTTAAAATCTTCTACCATTACCACCCTAGTATTCCTACAGATAACTGAGGTCTCCTTACAGATTTGTTTCTCAGTTTCCTGCTGACTGCTGGGGAGTCTATAGTACAATCCCCTTGTTATTTCTCAGTTCCACCCAAATAACTTCCCTGGACATATTCCCAGGAATATGCTCCCTAAGAACAGCCGTAATGCCACTCCACCTCCTCTCTTGCCGCCCGTGCCCCCCCCCCCTCCCAACTTTGTATCCTTCCTATAGCGTCTATACCCTGGAACATTAAGCTGCCAGTCCTATCCATTCCTGAGCCACGTCTCTGTAATTGGTATGCTATCCCAGTCCCATGTTCCCAACCATGTCCCGAGTCCATCTGCCATACCTGTTAGCCTCTTGCATTGAAATAAATGCAGTTTAATTTATCAATCCTACCTCGTTCTCTGCTTTGTTCCTGTCTGCCCTAACTGTTTGACGTGCTCCTTTTCTCAACTGTACCGATCTCAAACTGATCTCTGTCCTCAGTATCTCCATGGGTGCCACAACCCCGAGCAGCTAAAGCAAATCTCTCTCCCAGTATATTAGTCCCCTTCCAATTCAGGTGTACTCTGGCCTTCTTATACAGGTCACTTCTACCCCAAAAGGGATTCCAATGATCCAGAAATGTGAATCCTTGTCCCCTGCACTAGACCCTCAGCCACACATTCACCTGCTCTATCCCCCCATTCCTACCCTCACTAGCTTGTGGCATCGGGAATGATCCGGATATTACGACCCTCGAGGACCTCCTTTTTAAATTCCTGCCTTACTTCCTATATTCTCTCCTTGAATCTCATCCTTTTCTCTTCCTACGTCATTAGTTCCAATGTGTACGACGACCTCCTGCTGGTCCCTCTCACCTTTGAAAATATTCTGCACTCTCTCCAAGATATCGTTGATCCTTGCACCATTCTGATGTCTCACTGCGGGCCGCAGAAACGTGTGTCTGTCTATCAGAATTGATCACTTGGAACCTGACATACCCCTCATTACATTAGAGCCAGTTTCGGTACCAGTGCAACATTCCCCTGAGAGTTCATCCCCCTACTTTTTCCAAAACAGCATATTTGTTTCAGAGGGGGATAACCACAGGAGACTCCTGCACAACCTGCATCCCCCTCCACCCTTCCTTGGAGGTAACCCATCTCCCTGACTATATCTTCAGTTTATCTCCCTTCCTGCAACTGCCATCCATCACACCCCAGCTCTTGTAAATTCCTCATTGCCTCTGGCTGCCTCTCCAGCTGATCCATACGATCCGATTAGATTTGCAACCAAACCCACTTCATGCAGACATAATCATCAGTAACATGGAAACTCTCCCTTATCTCCCACATCCAACAGGATGAGCACATCACTCTACTAAAGACCATCTTTGCACCTTAACAATCTACAGACCCAGAAAATAGCACAGTCTTACTGCTCTAGGGTAACTTAGCACCTATGTTTTTATATTTTTAAAGTTAAATCAAGAGACAAATCTCAATTAAAAACATGTAATCAAGAAAGAACCCACTCTACTCATTATTGTCGATTTACAAAAGAAAAACAGAAAGGATATACTTTAAAAAAACAAGCCACTTAGCTGTTCCCCTGCTGTGAGCTTCCCCACACAGGTTTCTCCAAGGTCAGCTGTGAATTTCGCTGTTTGTTTATTTTTCTTAGACAAACTCTGATGTCCAAAGATACTTGAAATCAAACAGCAGAGGCAGATTCCCTGCTGGATCAGACAGCTGTGCAGGTTTATTTCTCCATTTGATTCACTTTCCATGTGGTCACTGCCTTTGCCTCTCTTCCTCCTTTGTAAACTGCCGTTGTTTTGATCTCTTTTTTTTCTCAATGTTCCAAAACAATGCAACAGCTTATAAAACAGTAATTACTTCTCCTAGAATTCAAAGAAATCAGCTCCAACACTGAAAATACATCAAAAAAGGAGTAGCTCACACAGCCACAATTCTTTTCCACCCTCCATCTTGGATTATTTGTTGAATTCTCTCCACTTGCCATGTCGGTGCAGCCCATCTAGAAAGGCAAGAGAAATAAATTAGTGGAACACCAATCCCTGTAAGTTCGCCATTAGCTCACAAACTGTCCTGGTTTGAAACTGTATTGGTATTTCTTCTCTGTGACTGGAGTAACAGATTTTGAATCCCAACAGCAATGTGAGTGTATCTACACCCTGCTCACCCTACAGGTGATTCAAGAAGGCAGTTCATTCTGTGAAAGGCATTTATGCTGCTCCCGTGCAATGACACCTACACTCAGTGAAAAATCTGAGGAGTCAGCCCCTCTAGCAAGGGAGGAGTGGGAATTGGAAGAAATCATGTTTCCTTTTCCTATTTTACAGAAGGAATACACCATATTGCACCAAAGAATACAGAGGGGATAGATACCACAGATAGATCCTGACCATCACTCACTGCTGGATCAGACAGCTGTGCAGGTTTATTTCTCCATTTGATTCACGAACAACTGCACGACTCTGGGAAGACATCCAGTCCCTTCACAGCATTGCTCAGCACAGAGAAGGTTGGGCAGTGAAACCATCATCTAAAAATCACTCGGGTCAGGGGAGCTTTGACATATTATCAGATCTCAAACTGGTCAGTGGTGTGGAGCTTCCATCAGAACCAACCTTTCTGAAGGTTCAGCTGTGGGTGATCAGTCAAGGTGAGGGTGAGAAGAAGTGTTAGTGGGCTGCAAGTGTGGTGAGAGTTTCAATTATTCATCGAGTCTCATAACCCACTGACTGATTTCTACAGGTGAGAAGCTGTTTGAGTGTGAGGAAGGCTCCATATGCTCAAATGGTTTCCTAACGCATAAGGTGTGTGTGTGTGTGTGTGTGTCACGATCAGTGCTGCGATAAGAGCACTGACATGGATGAAAAATCTTTCAACTGTGATGCAGGCGACAAATTATTTTCCCATTCCTCTCACTTCCACATACACCAACACATTGATACATTGGAGAAGCCATTCTCTTGTGAGGTTTGTGACAAAACCTATATGACGTCGTCAAGCCTCATTAGACACCAGGAAAATTCACACAGGGGAGAAGTTGGTCATGTGTGAAGTGTGCGACAAATCCTTCACACAAATTTAGAGTCTCCTGGACCATCAAACAATTCACACAGGGCAGAAACCTTTCACGTGTCAGATCTGTGGTAAGCTTTTGTGACATCTTCGAGTCTCCTTCGTCACCACAGGAATCACACTGGGAAGAAACCCTTCCATTGTGAAGTCTGTGAGATGGCTTTCATCCAATCGTCTGACCTTCTGACGCACCAGAGAATTCACATGGGGGAGAAACCTTTTAAGTGTGAGCTCTGCAACCAAGCCTTCACATGGTCGACAACACTTGTGCAACACCAACACCAACAGATTCACACAGGGGAGAAGCCATTCAAATGTGAGGTTTGTGACAAATCATTTTCACACTCATTAAACCTCCACAGTCACCAACGCATTCACACAGGAGCAAAACCTTTCATGTATGAGATGTGTGACAGATCATTCTCAGAGTCATCAAACCTTCATGCACATCAACGCATTCACACAGGAGCAAAACCTTTCATGTGTGAGATGTGTAACAGATCATTCTCAGAGTCATCAAACCTTCATGCACATCAACGCATTCACACAGGAGAGAAACCATTCTGGTGTGAGCTGTGTGAAAAGGTTTTCACTAACTGCTCTGATCTCCTAAAACACCAGAGGATCCACATGGGTCAGAAGCCATTCAAATGTGACGTGTGTGAGAAACCATTCTCAGAGTCATCGAACCTCCACACGCATCAACGCATTCACAAGGAAGCAAACCATTCCGGAAGTGAGATTTGTGAGGCTTTCAGCCACTCCTCTGATCTCCTGAACCACCAGCAGGCTCACGCTGGTGAGAAACTATCCAGCTATGAGTAGTGGCACACAGGGTTAGCGATGTTTGTGCAACACCAACACCATTGTACCCAGGAAAATCTGTTTCAGTGTAAGGTGTGTAACGAGAGCTTTGTGCAATTATGCTGCCTAGTGAAACACTGCTGTTTTCACCCAACAAATTCACACAGGGGACTGAGTTGTGGGTCAAAGCCTTCACAAAGTCAATACATCTGCTGCCCCATCACAGGACCAAATCGGGGAGTAACCCTTCAAGTGAGAGGTTTACAATAATGTATTTCTGAAAGCTTTGAAATTCCTGAGACAGCAGCAGATCCAGACTGGAGAGAAACCAGTTGAGTGTGATGGATATGACAAGGCTGTCACAGTTAGCATATCCATTTTGATCCCCATCTTTATGATGCTGGAGGAGAAATGGAAAGAGATGAAGACAAAGGGGATGAGGGGTAAGTGAAATGACAGGATAGGAGAAAGGTACAGAAATGAGGATGGGAATGAAGTTGAAGAGATAGTGAATGGGGGAAAGAGAGAGAGTAGAAGAGGAAAGAAGAGGAGGCAGAAGGTGATGATAAAAGGTTGCTTTTTGGACTGAGGCCTGTGACCAGCAGTGTGGTGCAAGGATCGATGCTGGGTCCATTGCTTTTTGTCATTTATACAAATGATTTGGATGTGAATATAGGAGGAATGGTTAGTAAGTTTGCAGGTGACACCAAAGTTGGTGGTGTAGTGGACAGTGAAGAAGGTTATCTCAGAGTACAACAGGACCTTGACAGATGGGCGAAGAGTGGCAAACGTAGTTTAATTTAGATAAATGTGAGGTATTACATTTTGGTAAGGCAAATCAGGGCAGCACTTATAGACTTAATAGTAGGGCCCTGAGGAGTATTGCCAAACAAAGAGGCCTTGGGGTGCAGGTTCATATTTCCTTGAAAGTGAAGTCACAGGTAGACAAGACAATGAAGAAGATGTTTGGTATGTTTGGCTGTATTGGTCAAAACGTTGTATACAGGAATTGGGAAGTCATGTTCAGCTGTGCAGAACATTGATGAGGCCACTTTTGGAATACTTTGTTTAATTCTGGTTTCCCTGCTTTAGGAGAGATATTGTTAAACGTGGTGCTGTTGTTAGAAGGGTTAAGCTATCAGGAAGATACTGAATAGGCTGGGACTTTTTTCACTGGAGCATCAGATGCTGAGAGATGACCTTACAGAGGTTTATAAAATTATGAGGGGCATGGTTAGGGTGAATAGCCAAGCTCTTTTTCCCATGGTAGGGGAATTCAAAACTAGAGGGCATAGCTTTAAGGTGAGAGAGGAATGATTTAAAAGGGACCTAGGGCAGCTTTTTCATGCAGAGGGTGGTGCATGTATGGAATAGAGCTGCCAGAGGAAGTGGTGGAGGCTGGTACAGTTACAACATTTAAAAGGCATTTGGATGGGTACATGAATAGAAAGGGTTTAACAGGGATATAGGCCAAATGCTGGCAAATGGGACAAGATTAATGTTGAATACCTGGTCGGCATAGATGAGTTGGACTAAAGAGTCTGTTTCCATGCTGTACAATTCAATGACTCTATGAGAATAAATTACTCAAAAGTAAATTACTTTGTTAAATATAATTAACACTCAGCAGCTGCAGAGCTTGCTGGTGTTTTATTGAATGGCTGTTTTCCCAAGGTGCCGGCAGTGATTGATTATACACACATGGTATTGAAGGTCACCTGAGGAGCTTTGCACGGCTCCTTAAACAGAAAGCAATTCCCTTCCTTCATGTCATGTATTATGGCCATCTGGGAATACTCCATGTGAACCCATTGACACTGGATTATCCAACAATGCTTTCATTGTCAGGAACTCAGACGTCACACTTATATTTGGGGAAAATGAGGAGGGTGATGGTTAGGGATGAAGTCCACCCTTTCCTTCCATGACTGATGTCACTATTTCATGCAGCACAAACTTAGCAGGAGGTGTAGTTTATTGACAACCGTACGTCTCTGAGGCAGCTCACAGAGATAAGCAGAATGCTTTAGAATTGTTTCAGGTATCGGTTGTACCCGTATGTATGGAAGTGTTCCCCAAAGAGAGAGAATGGCCATAATCATCCTATTGGACTGCACACTGAACAATATCAATGTATTCAGGCAGTCTGACTATCCTGTGGGCAATCAGGGGTGGAAATGCCCCTTATGCTGTGTCAGAAGATTCAGCTGAGAGAGCTGTTTACTCTGTGCTGAGGAAGTGTCACCAGATCCGAAATGTTAACTCTGATTTTTCTTCACAGATGCTGTCAGACCTGATAAGCTGTTCCAGCAACTTCTGTTTTTGTTCCTGATTTACAGCATCTGCAGTTCTTTTGGTTTTTGTTTACTGGGTGCTTTGTGATGAACTGTTTGACCGGAGACGTGCGTTGGATCTTGAGTGTGTTTATTGGAAACATTTCTGTTCTGATTTCCAGGCTGAGTTTTGTTGTTGTCCCATTCCTGAATATGAGAAGGTGAGGTGCAATTATCTGAGGGTACGTACTGATTCCCTGTTGTTGAGTTCTCTGTGTGTGTGTGTGTGTGTGTGTGTTGGGAGCTGGTTGCTGTCCCGTGCAATGTTATTTCGACAGTTGCTCTGAGGGAATGTTGAACAGCAGAGGGATTGTTGTCTTCTTAAAGAATAGCAGTGGGAAGTATTTTGCCTCCAGTATGTCCTACCAATCACTGAGATCAAACTCCATATTCCTGCCTTTCCCTGGATCCCGTCAAACCTTTCAAGAACCAAAGTCTCAGGTTGAATATCAGCAATTGATTTAGCATTAATAGTCTTTTGTGAAAGTGAGTTCAATCTTCTGCCAGCTTTTTGTGTGTCAAAGTGTTTCCTCATTTCATTGCAGAAAGGTCTTCCTCTAATTTTAAGAACCAAAATATAAGAACCAGCATTCCATGAGACTTTTTGATTATTTCTTTCTACCCACTCATGATATTTTCATGATCTCGATACATGGGTCCCCAAGTATCTTCGAACCTCCACTGTGTGATTGTTCCTTTCTTGTGCCTAGATGTGTGCAGTTCTAAAAGCACTTAGTAAGCAAGTACAGGACAAACACCCCATATGATTTGCATCCCATCTAACATTTCCAGCATTCACTGTGTTCATTGTGGACACTCAGCAGCAGCAGTTTGTGCCATCCACAAAACACACAGCAGCAACTCACTCATTAACTTCACCCTCCAAACCCATGACTCCTTCCATCTAGAAGGACAAAAGCAGCAGATGCATAGGAACACCACCCACTGTACATTCCCCTCCAAGTTACACACCATTCTGATTTGGAACTTTGTCGCTATTCCTTTGCTGTCACTGGGTCAAAATGCTGGAACCCCCTTCACAACAGCAGTAGGGGTGTACCTACTACCTCAAGCTACCTCATGGACCCCAGTGGTTCAAGGAGGTGGCTCAGCATCACCCTCTGAAGCACAATCTGTGACAAATTGTATTAATAGAGTACCTCTGCACAATCCAATATATCCATACAAGAGAAAATATTTCACGTGGGAAGTGTGCAAAGGTCAATCTGGCAGTCAAGTAACCTCCATACACACAGAAGAGAGTGTGAGTCTATAATGAGGCCTTAGCACATGTATTTTTTTGGGTCTGGCGAATCAGTCACCCAGTCACACGGGAAGAATGTATGACAACTCATTCTCGAAATTAGATGAACTGTGAACAGCAACACATTCACATACACATAGAAGGAACTGTTCACCTGTGAGGTATGTGAAGAATCATTCTCAGTCTGACAAACTCTGCAGAAACCAAAACTTCCATGCTGTGAAGAAACTGCTCACGAATGAGGTGAGTGAGAAATCATTCGCACATTTATTCATCCTCCTTGTATACCAGCATTTCATAAAAATATACACCTTTTTCTTCCAAACCTTGGACTGAAAATGGGGAAATGGACATTACTTTAAAAGAGAAAGAGTGCATTAAATTTCTTTTGCAACTTAGAAACATCAAGTGAAATGCCTAAGATAATGTTGGTTCCTGGGATAGATACTTTCTAATCAACCTGTTCAATGATGTTATTACACACCTCTAGAGCAGGTGGAACTTGAACCCAGGACTCCTGGCTCAGAAGTGCGGACACTATTATTGTGCCACAAGAGCTCTCAGTTCTTGGGACAATGTCCCCATACAAAGTAGCATCACCTGTGTGTGTTGAGGGCAACTTTACCCAGAGATAGTCTTTTGATTGGTTTTCAATGGGCACCATCTGTTGTTAGTTCAGGGAGCTCAGCACTGTAATGGCCTTCAGATTGGTCTGGCTGCAGCTTAACCCTGTGGGTAACTGCTTGGTCAGAAATGTCCTGCAAGTAATGAACATCTCTCCATTTATTTGCTGATTGCTCTCTTTCTCACTGTCTCTGGCAAGAGAAGTTGGACAAAGAACCAAAAGAACTGTGGATACTGAAAATCAGAAACAAAGGCAGAAATTGCTGGAAAAACTCAGCAGGTCTGGCAGCATCTGTAGAGAAAAAGCACAGGTAATGTTTCAGGTCCAGTGACCCTTCTTCAGAACTGAATTTGGATACTACATTCAGAGAGTCTGCAAAATATTCTAAAACATAAAAGGAAAGACCAGAGTTCAACCAATTAACCAGTGAATTGAAAACTTGACCATCACTTTGCAGATAGCATCACAGCACTATCACTAAGAAACAAGAGGATTGTGAGAAAATCCATCCTACTTCGATGGCCTGAAATTTTTGTGTTTATGGAACTGTGCTTTCACGGACTGTACAGGGGTGGAAATGTCCGTTATGCTGTGTGAGAAGATCCAGCTGAGGGAGCTGTTTACTCAGTGCTTTGTGCTGAGTAGTTTGACTGGAGCTGTGTATTGGATATTGAGTGTGTTTATTGGAAGCATTTCTGTTCTGATTTCCAGGCTGAGTTTTGTTGTTGTCTCATTCCTGAATATGAGAAGGTGAGGTGCAATTATTTGGGAGGTGCAGAGTGTCTGAGGATTCTTACTG